GGAGCAATACTTCACACCCGCAAAGAACGTAATCTTTGAGAGGTACGTTTTTGGCAACCTTAAAACAAGAGGATGGAGAGCTCTTGGATGCGTTTGCTACCAGGCTGAGGGAAAAGGCTGCCTCTTGTGAATATGGAGCTATAAAAGATGAACTCATAAGGCTTGTTCTCGGCATAACTGACGAGGGTGCTAGACGTCGCTTACTAAGGGAAAAGGACCTTAAATTGGACGAGGCCATTCAAATTTGCCGTGCAGCCGAGGTCATGGACAGCAAGTTAAAAACCATGTCACTGGGCAGCTCTGGACCTGGGGACAGCATTAATGCCACACAAGGACAGCGATATGGACGGAGGTCTGCCAGCAGGCCATCCGAGTCCACCAACACATCTGCACAACCACAGAGCATGAGAGACGCTGGCGAATGCAAGTACTGTGGCACACGGCACAAGCGTGGGCGGGACGTGTGCCCTGCTTCTGGTAAATTGTGCCGCTCGTGTGGCACTGCTAACCATTTTGCAAAAGTATGCATGAAAAGAGGCCAGCAGGCACGCCAGTTGAATGCTGTGGATGACCCGTTGCCAGGGGAACTGGAGGACAGCGATGAGAGAGATGTGTACACAGCGGAGAGCGTGGGGGCTGTGAACTCTCGAGGTAAAAAGTGGTTTGTCAACCTGCCACTGCAAAGTGGGGTTTAGAGGTGCCAGCTCGACTCTGGAGCCACTTGCAATGTGATGAGCATCAAGGACAAGACGAAACTGGCGCCTAGAACACCTCTTCTGAAGAGTCTCACCAGATTAAAACTAAAACAGTGAGTGGATGAGCTCATTAGGTGTGTACAGCACACAATGCGTCGTTAGGGGTAAGACGCACAGACTGGACTTTGAGATTGTGCATACTGGCCAGAGGCCCTTGCTTTCGGGTGAGACATGTGAGAGACTTGGTCTGATACGCTTCACCATTCCTGAGGAGCTGAATAAGGTGGAGCACTGCAGGAAGGGAGACCTGACCAAGGAGTGTCTGGTCAGCACCTACCATGACGTGTTCACCAGCCCTGTTGAGTCTCTGCCCGGTGTTATTCACTTTGAGCTGGACAGCACTGTGGCACCGGTGCAGTGTGCTCCCAGGAACGTTCCAGGCAAGGCAGCTGTTAAGGCTCAGCTTGATCGATATGAAGAGGAGGAACACTTGACCACAGTCAATCAACCCACGGACTGGATTAGCAATCTAGTCATAGTGAAAAAGCCAGACAAATTGAGACTATGCATTGACCCGAAGCCTCTCAACCGTGCTCTGAAACGGTCCCACTACCTTATGCCCACTTTAGATGACGTGTTGTATAAGCTGCCGAAGGCACGTATTTTCACCCTGGTGGATGCACGTGATGCATTCCTGCAGTGCCGCTTGGATGAAGAAAGCAGCCTGATGACAACATTCTGGACACCGTGGGGTAGGAAACGCTGGCTGAAACTCCCTTTCGGTGTGTCAGTTGCCCCGGAGCTGTATCAAAGGAAGCAGCATGAGCTGCTGGCTGGCTTGACAGGGATTGAGCCCATAGCCGATGATATCCTTATAGTCGGCTGTGGGGACACAGAGGATAAGGCCAATCGCGACCATGACACAAACCTCATCGCTCTGATGGACAGATGCAGGGAAGTAAAGCTGAGACTGGGCCTGAAAAAGCTGCAGTTCCGAGTGAAGGAGGTCCGCTTCCACGGCCACATACTGTCCGCGGAGGGCCTCAAGGCTGACCCTGAAAAAGTCAGGGCGGTTCTGGACATGCCAAACCCCACAGACGCAAAAGGGGTCCAGCGGTGTGTCGGATTTGTGAACTATCTGTCCAGATTCATGCCACGCTTGTCAGCGGTATGTGAGCCGCTGAGGAGACTGCTGGACAAGGATGTGATGTGGCACTGGCTGCCCAAACATGATGCCGCCATGAAGGAAATCAAGGCACTGGTCACGGCGGTGCCAGTCCTAAGGTACTATGACGTCCGCAAGCCAGTCACCGTACAGAGCGACTCCAGTCAGGCGGGTCTGGGTTGCTGCTTGCTTCAAGGGGGACAGCCTGTCGCATTCGCCTCCCGGGCATTGACCCAAACAGAGCAAAATTACGCACAGATTGAAAAGGAGTGCCTGAGCATCATATTCGCCTGCCAATGCTTCCACTACTACCTATATGGGAGGGGTGATGTGACTGCAGAGACCGACCACCGCCCGCTGGTGTCCATCTTCACCAAGCCCCTCCTCAGTGCGCCAAAGCGCCTTCAGAGCATGCTCCTCACACTTCAGAACTACTGCCTTGCGGTGGTATACAAGCCAGGCCCTGAGATGTACATAAGTGACACGCTCAGCAGAGCCACCACCCCGCCACAGAGAACAGACACACTGTACCAATGTGAAATGGTCTGCAGCATGCAGCAGGAGCAGGGTGACACGGCGGCCATTCAGCAGGCAGACTATTTAAATGTCAGCAGCCAACGCCTGGCACAAATTCGGACACACACTGAGGAGGATGTGTGTCTTCAAACACTTAAGTCTGTCGTGCTGGAGGGATGGCCAGGACACAAAGAGGAGACCCCTGTAGCCGTCAGGGACTACTGGGCCATCAGAGATGAGATAAGTGCACAGGATGGCGTGCTCTTCAGGAGTCAGCGTGTCATCATTCCAAAAGCTATGCGCCCGGAAATGCTGAGACGGATCCACTACAACCACGTGGGGGGCGAGGCGTGCTACAGGCAGGCCCGTGATACACTTTACTGGCCCGGTATGCAAGGGGAAGTCAAGGATTATGTGCAAAAGTGCTCTGTGTGCAATGAGTATGCACACGAACAACAGAAAGAGACTATGGTGTCACACCCGCTCCCCACACGTCCCTGGCAGCTAGTAAGCATGGATCTGTACAGCTACGTAGCACAGAACTTCTTGCTCGTGGTGGACCATTATTCTGACTTTTGGGAGATCGACCTGCTCCCTGACCTATCAGCAGACACCACGATCCGTAGATGCAAGGCACAGTTTGCACGCTACGGTGTCCCAGACAGGGCCATTTCTGATGGTGGAGGCCAGTTTGCCGGTGGAGAGTTCCAGGCGTTTGCGAGAGAGTGGGGTTTTGAGCATGTCATGTCCTCACCGAGGCACCCAAAGGCTAACGGCAAAGCAGAGTCAGCAGTGAAAATTGTAAAGAGCCTGTGCAGAAGGGCAGACCAAAGAGGACCCCTGGAGGGCCATATTGCATTGGAGAAATACGCCCACTGAGGGTATGCATTGCAGCCCAGCACAGCAGCTTATGTCGCGGAGACTGAGAACCCTTCTCCCTGTGGCCGACCAGCTACTGGTGCCTCAGGTCGTCATGGGTGTTCCTGACAAGCTGAAAATGAAACATCAAGCAGCAAAGCTGACATATGACAGATCTGCCAAGGATCTGCCGGAGCTGAACGTCGGCCAGCCCATACGGATGAAGCCACTCCCAGGAGACAGGACGGGCCGATGGAGGAGAGGTGTGTGCCTTCAGCAGTTGGGACTCCGGTCCTATCTGGTCGGTGTGGAGGGGACCACGTATCGGCGCAACAGGTTTGATCTTCGACCAGCAGAGGCAGCCCTTCTCCAGCCGTCAGTTCTCCCAGAATCGGCCCCGGAGCAGCCTGCGAGTGGGGGGAGCGCCAGAGAGGTCGTCGGCGTCCCCAAGGCCATCACCCCCGGGGTTGTCGCGGTCTTCCCCGCAGACTGGGGATACACCATGCCTTGAGTTACAGGGCCGGGCTTTCTCCCGGAGCGGACGGCTGATTAGACCTCCTGACAGACTTGACCTCTAGGTCACACACACACACACACACACACACACACACACCCACACACACACACACACACACACACACACACACACACACACACACACACACACACACACACACACACACACACACACACACACACACATACTTGGACTGTGCGCACTCAAACACACATGGACGATAAAGATGTAAAAAAAAAAAAAAAGGAAGTGGAGAGATTGTAAAACAAATGTGATTGATTGTTCTGAGTTTATTGCTGATGTGTTCGGATCCGGCTATTATTGAAGTGTCTCTGCTATGTGCACTATTTGTTGTTGAAATCATTTGATTAATGTTCTGATTGAAGGTCAACAGTTTAATGGCAGTATTGATCCTGTGTTGTTACTTAACAAAAGGAAGGGAGATGTTACAGGGTGGTTTAGGCTAGGTTGCAGCTCCACCCTGTGGACGTATTGTGCCTGTGTTATATATATCTGCCTCACGTAACATACCTCCGTTGTATGATTGCCTGCTCAGTGTGAATACACGGCGTTGAGACACAGCCTGACTTGCCTTGTTTATTAATGCACATACATCTACAAACAGTACCCGCCGCCCCTGATAGGGAGTGAAGAGACTCAACACTTCTGACGGGTCACAACTTTTATATTGCCATGGTGAATATCTTTTGATGAAATTATTGGTTATTTTAAATCGTAAATATGATCTCTTTTCTTGTACCTTCCGTGTTTATTTAAGTGAGGCAATTGAGGACAGCCGCTGTGTATGAGACCTGATGAGACGGGGAGCGGAACAGTTTTTCGACCGCAAATTGTCATTAGAAAGTAGTGTTGCAAATTGGACTGCAAAGTATAATTATTATAAGAAAGTATATCGCCGAAATATTGATTTAGATTTGTTATTTTGAGACTATTTAAGTCAAAAAAATGTTTTTAATAAATTACATTTTTTTGACTGAAAACCTTCGGCTGCTTATTTCTTTGGATTGCGTGTCGTCAACCCCGCTCTATAGTGGCAAAAGGAAACCTTAGATAGTAGTTAGTTCAATCATTTTAGCAGATTTAGCGTTTTTAGTGAGAAAGAATTCCGAGATACGTTTTTGCGCTTGTGTTGTGCGTCACGTTAAAAGAAGCCGACTAAAAACTAACAAAACACTTTTTAACAAAGTAAAAACAGGAAATGACAGACAACAAAAAAGGGTTAGCAGAAGCGGACTTGACAATATAAACTAAACAGAGAAATAATACTAGCAAATCTGACGAGACACAACAGTACCCCCCCCTCTACGGCCGACTCCGGACGGCCCAGAGTCCTGTGGATTTAGCCTGAAAAAGTCATTTGTCAGCCTCTGATCCACAACGAAGCTTGCTGGTACCCACGACCGATGTTCTGGACCGTATCCTTTCCAGTCTACAAGGAACTGTCGGCCACGTCCTCTCTTCCTGACTGCTAGCAGTTTCTTGACGTTGTAGATCAGACCGCCGTCTAATATCCGGGGGGGAGGAGGGGGCTTGGATGGAGGAACCAAACGACTCTCACGAACCGGTTTGATTTTGGCAACATGAAAGGTAGGATGAACTCTCAGGGACATGGGCAGGCGAACAGCCACCGGGTTAATAACTTTAGTTATGGGAAACGGACCCACAAACCTCGGAGCCAGCTTCCTGGAGGCCACACATAGGGGTAGATCTCTTGTAGACAGCCAAACCTTCTGCCCGGGTCTGTAGGCAGATGCCGGACGACGATGTCGATCTGCTGCCTTCTTCATGCGAGCAGCACTCCTCAGGAGAACCTGGCGAGCTCCTGCCCAGACTCCGCGACACCGCCTCACCAGGGCATGTGCTGATGGTACAGTCACTTCCTTCTCTACTTCTGAAAAAAGAGGAGGTTGGTAACCATAGGCACAGTTAAGGCGAGACACCCCAGGTGAATAGGGTAATTTTTTAACTTAAAGGTATCAGCTAGAAATGTCTCCAGTTAATTACTTACAATAAGGCAATTGTTTTTTGTATTACAAGTTTTTTGAAATAGCATGTTTAAATATGCAAATTATCCATTATCTCATTAAATATGCACATATTTTAACACATTTCAGGAATCGAAATCTGAACTTTGGATAAAGCCAGGTTCAAAATTATTGTTTCATTTTGTAGTCATATTAGTATCTAAGGCTTTTACAGAAGAGATATTGGATATCTCTTTTTATCACTCCATAAATCAGAAAATACTGTCAACAGCCCTAAAATATCAATTTTCGCCATGTTTTTAGGTATACAATGTTGTATAATTCAGGCTATGAATGATATATGAACAAACCCTTCTGTAAAAGCCTTCACAATATTGATAGGAATATAACTGGAAGGTTTGGTGTATGTACGTGCTACTGAAGTTGACATTTCGAACTCAGAGTAGGAGAAAAAACTCATTTTGAGAAAACGACCTTTAAAGATTGCAGTGAGGCGCTAGCTAAACCCTCCTGTTCTTTGGATGATAGCTTGCGCATTGACGCACTCCGTGAAGGTATTTCATGTTCGGGGTCATTTGTTTTTTGTATAACCTTGCTTCGTGCAAGTGACAATTGTTGTCGTCTTCTCTGTGAACGTTTTTTTCGCCGTTCTTTTGCCATTTTGAGATTTACATTTATAGCGGAAAGCTAACCAGGAAGTGTTTTAGCACACCACGTGACGCATCTGAACAAATCACGTTGTCAGAAATTGACACCAGCCAATGAGATTTCGTTTCTTGGTTTAAGGAAATGACCATATTTGGATCTGATGAGATTGTGCAGGAGAGACACAGCTTTCCAACGATATCTCTGTTGACATGGTGCACACAGCTGTCGCGGTACTTTATGTTACGTTAGAATGCTAACTTTTGGTGAATTTAGGAGAAATCTACAGACGCAAATAGACAAACTATAGTAAAATAACACTTAAATGTGTATTTTGTACGTTTTCCTTCCAAAAGCCTAAAAGAAAACATGTTATAGAATCAAAATAGCACAAAATCTCAAAATTGACCAGTACTTGAAAAACGATGTTTTTGCCTGCCGTGTCTCGCCTTAAAAGGGGAGAGACCCGTGACAGATGTAGGTTGGATGTTGTGGGCATACTCCACCCATATCAGCTGCTTGCTCCACGATTCTGGGACACCAGACACCTTAAACACGTCTCCAGTTCCTGGTTGATCCTCTCTGATTGACCATTAGCCTGTGGGTGGTAACCAGATGTGAGGCTGGGAGTGGCTCCTATCAGGCTGCAGAATTCCTTCCAAAACTTGGAAACGAACTCCGGCCCATGGCCTGAAAATATGAGATAAGAGCGCTTCTGCTGTCTCTTTAGCATAGGGCAATTTAGGCATGGGGATAAAGTGAGTCATTTTGGTAAATAGCTCGGCTGAGCGAAAAGGATGCACCTGCAGTGCATAGGAAAATAAACCATGCCCAAGGCGGGCTGAACAGTTAATCGTCTCCGTCTCTTTCTTTCCGAGTGCAACGATGAGGAAGCTGCCATCCTTAACCAGTGTGCCTTGCTCGTGATTTACCAGTGTTTGTGCTGCCACGCACACAATGTTTCAAAAGTGGTTTCTATCTTGCCCTTTATTTGTGTATGTATTTGCGATAAGTGTGCGTCTTTACGCAATGAGGTGGCCTTGCTGTTTGATATATATTGTGCCCGCAGCACATGACGGTTTTGTGTGCCCTCCCATGAAAATCATTATGCCCTCCCTTTAGATTTGTTCTGGCGCCGGGTCTGCCCAAATGCATGACTCCAGACAAAAGATGATTCAAAAAAAGTATTTACTTGTGGTGATATACAAGGTAACACAAACTCTCCAAATGACTTCACAAAAAACGTAACTTAGATTTACTGTAGCACAGAACACAACTGGCTGACAAGTACCACAAGGGTCGAAACGATCTGGCACTTGGCACAGAGAAAACACAGACACAAGGGACTCTACAGGTGCAAACAATAAGGGCGGGGCAGGTAATCAGGTCAGTTAACATACTGACAGGGTAGGAGTCGAACTACCTGAAATGAGAGAAGAGATTTAACAAAGTAAAACAGGAAATGACAGACAACAAAAAAGGGTTAGCAGACGCGGACTTGACAATATAAACTAAAGAGAGAAATAATACTAACAAATCTGACGAGACACAACAGAGACATAATAAGAAGTAAAGGAAATGGAACATATGCAGTCAGGACAGTGTTTGGATGGGTTGTAAATGGACCACTCAACGCTTGTACTGCTGTGGAATCCGGACCCGTGATGACAATGGTCAACAGAATATCAGTAGCCAACCTGAATGATCTCCTCATCACACAATAGAATCAGGACTTCTCAGAAAAAGATTATGAAGAGAAGAAGGAAATGTCAGGTGAAGACAAAAGGTTCATGGAGATAGCATCAAGCTCAGTAGAACTCAAGGATGGACACTATCACCTACCCTTGCCTTTTCGAAAAAAGGACATAGTTATGCCTGACAACTACGAAATAGTAAAACAACGTACTCTAAATCTCCTCAAGAGGTTTAAGAACCTGCCACAAGAACAGCTTAACAGGAACGATGGACAGATATGGTACACACCTCACCACGGTGTTTACCATCAACAAAAGCGCAAACTTAGAGTTGTGTTTGACTGCACTGCATCATACAAAGGCACATGTCTTAACAAGGAATTTTTCTAAGGAACTTCTCCAAGGTCCAGACCTGGCGAACACTCTCATTGGAGCTCTGCTTAGATTCCGCCAAGAACAAAATGCTTTCATGGGGGACATCGAGGCAATGTTCTATCAAGTGCAATTCCAGAGAGAGCACAAAGACTTCCTTAGGTTTCTGTGGTGGCCAGATGGAGACACTGAAAATTCATTGGAGGCATATAGAATGAAGGTCCACCTCTTTGGTGCTGTGTCCTCACCTAGAATTGCTAACTATGCTCTCAGACAAGTGGCAGAAGACAACAGCTCCAAGTACGACAAAGAGGTAACTGAAACAATCAATTCCAACTTTTACGTTGATGATCAAATCAGTGGCCACAGTTGAACAAGCTATTAAGCTTATCAGAGACCTCAGAGACGCATGCGCCGAAAGAGGTTTCTCATTGACCAAATGGGTCTGTAACAACCGTGAAGTGCTTGCAAGTATACCTGAGCATCACAGAGCAAAGCTATTCAAGAATCTGGACTTTGACAGGGAAAACCTGCCAATTGAAAGAGCACTTGGAATCAAATGGGATACAGAGAAAGACTCCTTCATATTCAAAGTCAATATCAAAAACGGAGCTCTTACCAGGAGAGGGATCCTCTTACAGTCAGTTCCATCTACGACCCGTTAGGACTCCTCTCCCCATTTATCCTTAAAGCCAGGCAGATCCTCCAAGAGCTATGCAGGATAAAGTGTGGATGGGATGAAATCATCCCAGAAGAATACTCAAAACAATGGCAGAAATGGATCACAGAGTTGGAACAGCTTAGCAGATTTCAAGTGTACAGGTGTATGAAACATGAGAATTTTGGACCAATCAGGACTGCAGAGCTTCATCACTTCTGTGACGCAAGCGAAAAAGGTTACGGCACAATCAGCTATCTTCGCTTTACAAACAGTATGGGAAGGGTCCATGTTTCATTTATTTTGGGAAAATCCAAAGTGACTCCACTCAAACAGATCACTATTCCCAGATTGGAGCTTACTGCAGCAACACTTGCAGTAAAGGTGGACAGGATGTTGAAAAGGGAGCTTAAAGTGGACCTCAACGGTTCAACTTTCTGGACATATAGCACCTCTGTCCTCGGATACATCAGCAACCATTAGGGCTGGTTTGCTTTCACTAACTGTACGGAGGCTCAGTCACTGGTACATTTTTATATACAAAGCCATGTTAGGGAAACTTCCATCTTATATCTGCTCCCTAATCTCACGGAAAATTGTAAGTGGCTACTGCCTGAGATCGAATGCTGTGGTTTTATTAAATGTGCCAACTGCTAGGACTGTCTTAGGGAAGACAGCTTTTAGATGCGCAGCTCCTCTGTCTTGGAATAGTCTGCAAATTAAATGGAAACTGAACAATCTGGTGCCACTAAATGTTTTTAAAGCTCGGGTGGATGCTACTCAATCGGAAGCTATAGGTACCTGTTTATGTGGATAATTATGTAAATGATGCTGTATGATGTCCTTTTGTTGTTCTATTTATGTTTTTATGTTTCATGTGGAACTACTTGAGCAGGTCTCCCTTGAAAAAGAGATCAATGATCTCAATGGGATTTATCTGTCTAAATAAAGGTTTGAAATTAAATTAAATGAACCAGACTAAACGATATCACACATTTGTGGCAAACAGAGTTTCAGTGATCAAGGACCTGTCTCAGGAGAAGCAGTGGAGGCATGTGAGCTCCATGGACAACCCTGCCGGCGACGCATCCCGTGGGCTGCATGTAGAAGACTTTCTAAAGACATCAAGGTGGTTAACAGGACCTAAGTATCTGAAAAAAGAATATTGGCCAAAAACACCCAAGAACCTGGGCCCAGATGTTAGAAAGGACTTAACAGTTTGAGTGTCCACGAAACCAACCCAACCAGCAAACTGTTTGAGTATTACTCATCATGGAGCAGACTGCAGAGAGGGGTTGCTTGGATACTTAAATTAAGAGGAATTCTTCTTCTGCTAAATCAAAGAAAGAAATCTGCAAAAGCTGACCTTGCCCCAGATTGGACTCTTTCAAAATCCTTAAAGGACAAAATGAACAAGCAAAAATTGACATTTGGATCACAACATCTGTCTGTGGAGGACATTAGAGAAGCAATAATTCACTCTGAGCAAAGATGTCACTTCACTCAGGAACTTGCACTTTTGGAGAAAGGAAGGCAAGTAAGAGCAAGCAGATCAGGAAGCTGGACCCAATCTTAGTGGAAGGCATGTTAAGAGTGGGAGGACGAATAAGCAAATCGGCAATGCCAATGGATCTGAAGAACCCATTATCCTGCCTAAAGACTCTACTATATCCAAACTGATCCTGGGCCACATCCATCAGCAGATTGGACACTCAGGGAGAAGCCACATGCTCTCAAGACTAAATCAAATATTCTGGTTGCCTCGTTCTAACTAGCAGCCAGAAAAAGAATCAAAACCTGTGTTTTCTGCCGAAAAATACTAGCCTCAGTTGGAGAGCAGAAAATGGCTGACCTCCCAGAGGATCGGGTGTCTCCAGATCTACCACCCTTTACTCATGTTGGTATTGACTTCTTTGGACCCCTGGACAACCCAGTCTCACGGCATTTCGTGTTCACCAACACGATTTTTAATCTATTGATTCGTGTTCACCAACACGATTTGCCCATTTTATTCGTGTTGCACAGCACGATTTTAAAAGCAATGTATTTCTACTGCCTGCAGCACGTCTTTTTCTCCGGTCGGGTCGTGGGAGACCGGAAGCTGTGTGGTTCATAAAAACATGTTCTTACTCAATATCAAGCCACAATTATTGCTTTTATTTTAAATCGTATAATTTCGGACTTTTGTTGCCGTCTGTGAGGGAAATAAATGGGGCTCAGAGCCTCAGGATACGGAAATCTGTATTTTTAAATATTTGTTTCCTTCTAATTCGTTATTCTTTTCAAAGTAACACACTGTTATTTACTCACCAATAACACACAATTATCCTTGCTTTTATTTATTGGTTTAATTCCATAATCTCGGGCTTTTTTGGCGTCCGTCAGGAACTGAATTTCAAAATAAAAATAACCGGAAACAGACGTAGACCTATAAGGGACATTTCGAGCATCATTGCGATTGTCAACATTTCTGAGTTTAGGATGGCCGAAGACACTACACTACCCATAATCCCCAGCTATCGTTTAGGACTACAGTCCCCGTAAGGTTACGCAGAGCGTCAAACAGCTGTGGGAAATGGAACGAAACCACGCCAGCCTATCCAAAACTGGAATCGAACGCCCCCTCAGAACTACACATGCTGGCTATTGTGTTTCGCAAAATGTTCTATGGGACGTCTCTACTGAACGTTTTCGTTTTTCCCACAATTAGAAGTTGCCAGTATTAAACACATTGGTGTTATCAAATGTAAAACATATAATTAATAAATGGGTGAAAATCGCTTGTGTCCATAATGCGCAGCATTAATACCCACATGACAGCTTACTTTGTAATTCTACTCCACTACAATTCAGAGGTTAACCTGGTATTTTTACTCCACTGCATTTATTTGAATTACTTTGCAGATTCTGATTAATTATGTGAAATATAAACAACCCTTAAATCAGAATTTAGTTACACCTGAGTAAAATTCAGGTAAGGTGATTGTCAAGTGCCAACAATCAGGAGAGATATTTGATAGTTGGTGCTTGAGAAGACTAAACATGTATCTGCAATTGACATGAATGGAAACGAGTAATAAAGTATTTTCATTACTCGTTATTCTCTACTAATAGTTAATTAAAGACTGTATACTATGGCTATTTTGCACATCCCTTTCAAGATGTTCAAAGGTTTATTGACATATCATCACAACTACGGTGTAGTTATGCAATGAATGAAACACTTGGGTCACAGGTTCCTCAACAGTGCATTACAAGACATCTATCAATATGTGTGTACCTCCACCATTAAACTGTCATATTCTGCACATTTCTTATTATATCTACATACATAAGAGTATAATTCATATGTATAATATCAGTTAAAATAAGTGCTTCAACATAGTTAACATTGCAGGAAAGCAATATATTAGACGTTAAGTACTTTGTCAGGCTTAATATTTATCTGTAGATAGATACCCCCAAAGTTTTTTTCTTATTTAAAAGAAGACCTTAATCTGTTATTTAATGTTTAAATAAAGGTTAATTCGTTTTTCTGTTTTGCACCTCCTCCTATTAATATCTTTGTACATTCTGCACTAAACTGTTTTATTGTAGAGATCACTTATAGTATCGTCTTGATTTTTTCTATTCTATATTTATACTTTCTCCCTATGAAAGTATGTACTCTTAATATTTTTTTAATCAAATAAAACACAATAATTCAATAACGTGCTTTAACCACTAGGAGCTGCACACAAGCCATAATAACTTTGTATTAGTGTAGGACACTTATGTTTTCGTACAACATCTGAAGATGTGTAGTTTTATGCATGCTTTCACATAATTTTACAGCATATTGCTATACTATTTCAGACTCAGTATTTACATTCTTACATTCAAAGAAAATCAGTAATATCTTTAAAAACTACAGTCCTTTTATATCAGCTGTGCACCGTTATGGTGTAAATATAACCTATCTGTGAATTAGATCAAATGTAAAAGTCAGCCGAATTAGTGTTGATACTGCAAGGAGACGTATTGTGTGAAGAGAAATTGAAGATGTTGTTTAATTGTTGAATATATTTTTGATCCACGTCAATTATTCAGTTTCGGCGGCATTTTCTCAGTTTTTCCAAAGATCTTCTCATCAGGGCTCTATAAATAAAGAACTACGGCAGATCTGTAATATACAATGCAGCCGAACCGTGTATTACAATGCCGTTATGTGATGACTTTCAAAGAGAAAAGCAAGAGCGCTCGGAATTAAGTATTATTTTATTCTTTTAAAATGTTTTCCGGATATCAAATCATATAAACACCAAATCCCAGCATGCATTGCGGCTAAAACATCCAATAAACGAGCTTAAAACCATAGCTGAGGATCTTGGGTAATCGCTCGCTGTTTCCGGTTATTTTTATTTTGAAATTCAGTTCCTGACGGACGCCAAAAAAGCCCAAGATTATGGAATTAAACCAATAAATAAAAGCAAGGATAATTGTGTGTTATTGGTGAGTAAATAACAGTGTGTTATTTTGAAAAGAATAACAAATTAGAAGGAAAAAAAGATTTAAAAAATACAGATTTCAGTATCCTGAGGCTCTGAGCCCCATTTATTTTCCTCACAGACTGCAACAAAAGTCCGAAATTATACGATTTCAAATAAAAGTAATAACTGTGGCTTGATATTGAGTAAGAACATGTTTTTATGAACCACACAGCTTCCGGTCTTCCTCGACCCGACCGGAGAAAAAGACATGCTGCAGGCAGTAGAAATACATTGCTTTTAAAATCGTGCTGTGCAACACGAAAAAAAGGGTCAAATCGTGTTGGTGAACACGAAATGCCGTGAGACTGGGTTGCCCTGTTTCAAGCTCATTGGACACTGACTCCTGCATCAATGCTTTGCGCAGATTCATATGTCGCAGAGGGCCAGTGACAAGCATCAGGACAGAAAACGGCACAAACTTTGTGGGAGCACAGAAAGAGCTAAGAGCAGCTCTTAAATACCTGAATTAAGAAAGTATTCCAAATGCATTACTCAGGGACGGAGTAAAATGGACTTTTAATCCGCCATATGGAGCCCACCATGGTGGAGTTTGGGAGAGGCTCATATTAGAAGTATCCGTTGTTCTCGCGTCCCAGGAGAGAAGCTTAGAATAAAGAGACCAATGGAGTCTCTGGCATAAGGTTCAAATGGGTACTTTAATTAAATGGCGCGGTAATGAAACAAGCAGAAGGAGGTTGGGAGAGAGAGGCTGCAGCTCCCTATTGCTGCCTGGGCCGTGGGAGAGACTTGAGACACGTTCGTCCTCCCCGCTTGCATCCCCCTTCGCTTCTCCTCTCTGGGGGCTGTGACGTAATCTTCCGCCCTCCTTTCACCAATGTCCGATATTGCACATAACAGAGGATTTAGACGTTATGTCTTCATTGTATAACTCCACATACCTTTTCTCCTCATACTCTCATGACTTTTTATTAAATGCATTTTAACGGCTGCAATCGTTTGTTAACACAAAACCGGAAGTCAAGCTTACTGGTGATATTTCAGAGATCTCTTCCGGTATAGCTTTTCCAAATAAACTTTAACCACAGGCGAATGCTAACCGGAAATGTTTTCACAATAAAACAGTTATAAGATTACTGTATGTTTAAACTACATTACATCATTAAACATTGTTTTAATTTCTTACACTCATCAGACCTGTAAAAAAAGATGATGTGTTCCATTCTAAAAGAACAGAGATTGGATGATGAGTCTCTACAGCAGGGGTGCCCAACCAGTCGATCGCGATCGACCGGTCGATCGCGGGGAGATTCCCAGTCGATCGCGAGATGTGTCTAAAAATAGAACAACAATATTCTGTTTTATCGTTAATGTCCTATAACTTAATCTTCCTGTGCCAGAATAATGCACTTGAACGCATCAAAGCTTTGTGATTGGCCGGCGTGACCCCATGTGTCGGGGCGCGGCTGGTGGGCAGTGGGCACTAGTTAGCTGACGTTATCCGTGTCAACAGGAGTGACAGTCCGCACACACACAAGACCGCAATTACGGCAGAAGGAAAATAAGCGCAAAATATATAATTTTCACTCCGAGTGGGAGGATGATTATTTTTGTATCTATTCCAATTCAAAGTCCATCTGTCTTATCTGCAATGCGAGCGTGGCTTTATCGAAGAAGGGTAATTTAGGAGTGGCATTTCAAAACTGCACAAACGCTACGAGACGGAATTCCCTCCTAATTCTGCCCTACGCTCCCAAAAGGGGAGGGGCCTGAATGGACAGCTAAATGCACAGCAGTCCATCCGGCCCAACAACAAGAGCAAGGCTGCTACCATAGCATTTTATCGTGTCAGTCACGTTCTTGCGAAACACATGAAGTCTTTCAAAGACGGCGAAGTTGTGAAAGAAACATTCCTGGAGGCTGCGACGCGCTTTTGGGGGACAATAAAAATAACAGTAGCATTTCAACAGGTTTTTGATATGATAAAAACTCAAGTTAGATACCGTTATTAATCAGCTGAGTTTTAGTTTGTTTGAACTTATTCATTATAATTATTCTACAAAATGGTATAAGAATGCAAACTTAAATTGATTATAGTCTATTATCAATTGAGGTTAAGAAACTAGTGTTGCTTGCATCCTATTAAAGACATTTATTTTTATACTCGACTAAAATGCAACAAAAAAGAATTTGATTCTATTAATTTAGTCTTTTTTTATTGCACGTTGGCAGCAGATTCCTGTGTAGCTTCAGATCTGAGTTTTCTTATTAGTAAGCCTCATTTATACTTTTGTAGCAACACTATTTTTATATAATGGCAAAGAAAGGGTTCAGAGTCTTTTCTTTTGTTCCTGTGTCATATGTGGCAGCACTGTTCAATGTTTCTTGAAAACATTACCCACTGTAGTGACGTGTGAATAAACTCCAACTCTGTATCAACAACACTGTTGTGTAACTTCAGTTAAATACTTGTATGTGTGTAGATTAGAAAGAGCCGAGGTAAGATAAAGGATCTGCAGTATTTTATGAAGTATTAATTGTACAAAGGTCAGTTTTATACAAGTAGAAGTGTGTATTTACCTGGTAGTAGGCTGTCAGTAATGGCTACGCCTCTCTATTTGGCCTGGTAGATCTCGGCAGACTGGCAACTTTAAAAGTAGCTCTCGCTTCAAAAAAGGTTGGGCACCCCTGCTCTACAGACAGCTTTGTGCGAAGTTGAGGGCATCATGAATGACAGACCATTGACTACAGTTTCAAGTGTCCCGAACAATCTCGAACCCCTCACGCCAAATCACCTCCTTCTGCTAAAAATGAATTATTTTTAAATTAATGATGGAAAATGATTTATATTGCCATGGTGAATATCTTTTGATGAAATTATTGTTTATTTTAAAAGTAAATATGATCTGTTTTCTTGTACCTTCCGGTGTTTATTTAAGTGAGGCAATTGAGGACAGCCGTAATTTTGTAGTGATTTCAGAGGGAAGTGAATGCAAATTCACCAGTAATGAGGTGAAGCCTGCGAGCTAGTTCAGGCAGTCAACTCGAGCACTTATGCTGCATTCATACATAACGCCCCTTGCCACTCTACAACCAACCAAACAGAGTCTCCTTAATATGCCGCTCTATTTAACCTGCCAGATCTCTCTCCATGCATTGCTTGCTGCTGCTATTGCTGCAGCTACCTCTACGTCGCTGCTGCTTGCCTGCCCCACCACCACCCCAGCTTCCACCCCAGCTTCCACCTGTAGGCTCGGGGGTTAGTTATTTGATCATCACTCATCGTGCTATGTATATCTATGGAGTGATGATGCCCGAGCCTAGTTGCCAAACTTAACTATATGCTGCTTCTAATAAACATGTTAAAGGAACACGTGAGTTGTCTGACTGAAATCAGCTTTAAAAGGGCCTGAGTTGATTGCTGTATACTGCATTTCTGATTGTGAGTACAGAGGAGTAGTAGTACTCATACTGTTTCAATCACATTAGTATGCATGAAAAGTGACAGGTGGTGTGACAGGTCACACCTCTCCCTACTTATGCAAATGAGCTAAGTCCCGCCTCCCATTGTTCGAGATCCTTTGATGTGAGGGGGGTACAATTATGTTAATGAGCTAAGTCCCGCCTCCCTTTGTTCGAGATCCTTTGATGTGTGTTATAACAGGTAGGTGTGAAAAGCCCCCTGGGTAGCGCCTTTGTTGTCTAATTCTTTGATGTGTTGATTAAGGTAGTCTCTTTGAAGTTGTGTTGTCTGGCCCCTGTCCCCTCACACCCCTTTGTAGTCTAGTCCTTTGATGTGTGTTATAACAGGTAGGTGTGAAAAGCCCCCCTGTGTAGTGCCTTTGTTGTCTAATTATTTGATGTGTTGATTAAGGTAGTCTCTTTGAAGTTATGTTGTCTGGACCCTGTCTCCTCACACCCCTTTGTAGTCTAGTCCTTTGATGTGATGTGTTATAGCAGGTAGGTGTGATATAAGCCTCTGATGTTAATCTAGGTGTTGATTAAGTCTCTTTGAAGTTATGCTGTCTGTCCCCTGCCCCCTCAGAGCCCTTTTGTTGTCTAATCTAATTAGCCTTTGGTGTTTGCCCTTTGATGTGAGGTGTTATAACAGGCAGGTGTGATTTCACACTGGTGTGTTATAAGCCTTTTATGTTAATCTAGGTGTCTCTTTGAAGTTATGCGTGAGACTGTCTACCCGCCCCCTCCCAGCCCAGGCCTCTCCCCCCTTTTCGCCACCCCTTCCTGTGGCTATGACGCCAGCAGATAGTGGGGGTGGAATTAGATGAAGATAGAAATACGCTCAAACTAAATAAAAAGACAGTCATTTCCACTTACCAAGTCACCTTTTTAAAAAAGAAAAATGGCAAGAGACGCCTCGAATGGGGTTTAATCAGCCTGTGACAACTTACCGCCATCCGTCCGGAGCGCCAGTCAAGAAACGAATGCAGCAGCAGCAGTGCGGGATTCAGACGCATACAGCCAAAGATCTGTGCACAAACTTATCTCGTGCCCTCTTTTGGTCATGTGCGCGTTCATGTGTGTTGGAGGAGGGGCTCTGTGAGGAAGTGGCAGATTTTCCCCCCGGTTGTGTACTTTCAAATTCTACCTCACTCGAGATGGTTTCTCCAAAATGATCTACCCCCTACCTTTAAGAACAATTAACACACACACACACACACACACACACACACACACACACACACACACACACACACACACACAAGGAGTTGGCCTTTGATCTGAGGGTTTGAGATAAGCCTGGGATGTTAATCTATATGTTTATTAAGACCCTCTGTGAGGTGAGAAGCGAGGAGATGGAGTTAGTTTTTTTTTAAAGAAACCTTACACTTTTAGTTGTCCTCTCTAAATTAGATGTAAGGTTTTTTTAAATGATTAGTGTTAATTAAGGGATATTGTTATTTTGTTTTATAAGGGGATAGGAGTTCAACTTTTAAAAATTGCACAGGATCATTCTAAGAAGAGTGAGAGGGCTAATGAGCCGGCACCATACCTCCTCTATGCATTTTCTTGACCTGTATCTGATCTTGAAAAACTCTGGTAAGTACTTTTTATTTTATTTTATAATATCATGTAATTATTAAATTTTGTTTTTTTTGGTAGGGGTTAAACTAGTATATTATGTGGATAGTATATTATTAGATACTTAAAAATGTTATGTTTTTTCTGTCAGACCCTGTGTGCTGAAATCTACTCAAACAGAGTACCTCATGGTAGTGGTCAGCTTTTAAACACAAACTTGTATCTTTCAGTAACTTTCTCAGAGAATTTAAGCATAAATCTGTCAAATGTTTCAAAACAGCCTTGTTTCACTGAAATAGCCTCAAAATCACAAACTGCCATTAAGAGTCAGATTCTTAACAAAATCTACTAAAACAAAGTACTTCATTATCTACTTTTCAGCTTTTATACACAAAAGTGTATCTTTCAGTAACTTTTTGAGAGAGTTAAGCATAAATCTGTCAAACGTTCAAAACAGCCTTGTTTCACTGAAATAGCCTCAAAATCACAAACTGCCATTAAGAGTCAGATGCTTTACGAAATATAATAAAACAGAGTACTTGCATGGTAGTGGTCAGCTTTTAAAAAGAAAAGTGTATCTTTCAGTAACTTTTTGAGAGAATTAAGCATACATCTGTCAAATGTTCAAAACAGCCTTGTATCACTGAAATTGCCTCAAAATCACAAACTGCCATTAAGAGTCAGATTATTAACGAAATCTACTGACACAAAGTACTTCATTATCTACTTTTCAGCTTTTATACACAAAAGTGTATCTTTCAGTAACTTTCTCAGAGAATTTAAGCATAAATCTGTCAAATGTTTAAAACAGCCTTGTTTCACTAAAATAGCCTCAAAATCACATACTGCCATTAAGAGTCAGATGCTTGACGAAATCTACTAAAACAAAGTACTTCATGGTAGTGGTCAGCTTT